TGCTATTGCGAAGCACACATCGTCCATCAGTCGACATGTCTCTGGTCTCGTGCTGCCATTGCGTCACCATCATCTCGTCGACTGTCAATTTGTCACATCGTCAGTCACCACGTCATGTCAGTCTACTTTTTCCCTCTCTCTCTTCCTTTATGGATTTTTTGCCACTTAATAAAAATCTAACGATTCCCTTTTCTATAAAGAGGGACCCTCCCCACCACTCTTTCATCAATATTCATCTTTATTTTTCATTCACTAAAGCAATTTTAGAGAAAGAGAGTGAGCTAAAGGAAGAGAGAAAGAAGGAAATAAAGGAAGAAGAAGGAGCGTAGGAAAGACTTCAAGTTTTTGGTAAGGAAATTTGGCATTTAATCGTATGTTTTAATGACTATTTTTAAATTAATAAAAGGAATATTGCATGAATAAGAGATGGCTTGTTACATGTTTAAATTATTGCTATGACTTTAATATATTTACACACATATTCCATTATATTGCATGTTTTATATTGTACTAACATTTGTAAGTAAATAAGTAAATAAAATTAACATGATGGTATGATAAGGGATGATGCAAGAAGCATAATGTTATTTGAGAAACATGCGAAAATGAATATTAACATTTGCATTCCTAGTATTTAAATTAAATCTGTTAGGCTTTTTATTTCTGAGAGATTTTATTTCTCCCCTATCTGGTCTGAAAAGACATGAGATGACTGCTTCTTGTGGATAACGGCGTATCCTTTAATGAGAGCAGTTATGCGATATGATGGTAAGGGTCACCTTGGCGACGTATAGCCGTGACTATAGTTTATATGTATGACCACTGTGGCTGACACGGCCGAGGTCATAAAATGTGTTATAATTTGACAAATCGTAAATGTGTTGTCATTTAACAAGCCGTAAATGTGCTAAAAAAATAAAATAAACCTTATCTTTTCATAATGGTAATCGAAAATCCGTATTGCCCTCAATAGACAAGGGTTGAAACGGTTTCGCGCGAAGAATAATAAAATGTGAAAAAAAAGCATGATATGATATGATTTGTTTAATTTTCTCTATTTTATACATGACATGATTATGTGTTTGATGAGATTGACTTGATGTTTATTTTTTTAAAATAAAATAAAATATTTTTTATTATTGAAATATACTTACATGTACGATTTTCGACGGTAAATGAATAAGATATAATTTTTAAATTTAATTACTTTTAAAATCTTAATAATGATAATTAAATACTAATTTTCTTACTGAGTATATGGAACTCACCATTTGTCATGCCTCTCTAGATGAGGATGATAGTGAGGAACTGTAACACCTGGGCCCAAAAATTTGGCACGCAATGATTTTTTTCAATTTATAAAAAATATATATAAATAATTAAATTTCTATTTTAATTTAAATTTCGTTAAATTTTTTTTAAAAATGAATTAGAGACGAAATTAAAAAAATTATGAGAAAAAGTGGTGAAAGTGTGAATAATGGGAGTTTTTTGAAAGAAAATTTGAAAACAGTGATAAAATTATAAAAAGAAAAAGTTTTACTATGTAGACGGCCTGGTCAGCAGCCACGACGAGTAAGATCGCGCTGCGTGATAGTCAGAAGGCGCAGTGGAAAGTATAGTATTTCAGACACCAATCCGGAATAAGAATCTCTCACTATTTTTCCTGTTATTTGAAGCTTAATAATTGATAATACTGTGTTTTTTGAAAATTAGAAAACCCTAAAAATAATTACATGTCACTAGTGGAGTCGAAACCGGTCAGTGTATATTTGTCTTAGTTTACTGTTTTTTTTTTGTAGTACTTAAAATGCTTACTATTATATTTTGTGCATTAAATTGCTAGTTTTAATTGTTTTCTCAGTTATTTAGTTTACCTAACTGCATAGCCCTCATTTGTTAATTTGTTTTGCAATAAATGTCTCAATCATATTTCTTAATGTACGTATCACCTATTTGCATGACTTACCGTTGATCTGTAAATATAAGATATTGGTATGTAACTAGTAATTAGTTAATGGTGTAAATATATGTATGAAAAACTTACTAAGTACTTTGAAAAATGATTGACGGACCTGGTACGTATGAAACCCTAATGTGGACATTATCTCAGTCAAACAAGACTAAGAAGTCTTATACCAGAAGAGTTTAGGAGATATGGTTCACTCTCATACTGGACAAGGTATCGAGGCGACGGTATGTTTGGCGTCCATTATCGGATAAGGTATGGGGATAGCCGATTAATTGACAAATTTAGATATTAGGTTCACACATAGCGGGACATTCCTATGGACTCCCAGAGGTACCAGTAAGCAGGTAAAAAAGAAAGTTATTGTTCTTATTCACATGCATATGCAATTATAATGTTATTTGGGTTATTGTCCTTAAAGGTTGATTTTAAAAACTCGTAACGGTAAGTATGGAATAAATAGTTTTATGTTAAATAAATTTACCTAAATCAATGGCTCTATTAATTGTTTTATGATTTTCTTACCAACTTTCAGTTTTTGTATTAGTGATTAGTGTGATATTCTTACTACACTAGTGTAGCTCACCATCCTATTAACCATTTTATATCAAGAAGACCAATATCCAGATCCTAAGCAATCGGAGAGTTGTGAGTAAGATTACCTCCCGGACCCCATCAAAGTTGCTAGTGGAGGTTAACCCCATAAGATATTTATTTCTTTATTTCCAACTATTTATTTTATTTTTTTTATAAACTGCTCTAAAAGGGATATCCACATAGTGCTACTGGGCACTCTAGTTGCTATGTAAGAAATGTAAACTCTAATATTATTATTTGCTTTTACCATTACAATATAAATCTTTTCCCTTAAGTTTCGAGCC